ACTTAGCCCCCCCCCCAAAAAAAAATCATCGAACGAAACTGTGGCAGCTACAACCACTGTACGACGAGTATGCAGTTATTACAGCTGAGAATGATGATGATGATGAAAGCACGCTGAAGACTGGCGAAGAACACCGTCGGATCGTATCCCCGTCTCATCCTGACCGCCTTGAACCACCTCATGGCCTTCTGGCGGTCGGCCTGTGCGTCGAACTTCCCTGCAGCGGCTTCCTTCCAAGCGACTCGGTTCATCTTCCCAGGACCCATTTGGCCTCTAAGGAGAGTCTTCAGTGCCACCAACTTACCCCGGTCGGTCTCCAGTCCAGCCACCCCCGCAATGTTCTCAGAATGTACCCATCCACGGGACATCCATCAGTATCCTGGTCACTGCACCACCAAATGAAACGAGGAACGCCCTCCACCGACAAGATCACAAATTCGTTTTCAACACCATTAGCAAAAAAGGAAGTGCAAAGTTCCGGTTAGGGGGTAAGATGTTCAAATCGCTTCCGGTCAAACGTGATATATGATCAGAACACCTACGACTGGTGCGAACGAGTGTGGATGTGTTAGCCCACACCAAAAATAAACAGTTGCATCCTGTGGATTAGATAGGGGAATGCACCGATTACACAAACAAACACCTACTATGCGGCACCATGAGAGTTACCGGGGTCACAAGAAAACGGGGGTTGGGGAGCTTGAGGAATGGGTAAGGTAGGGCGCTGAAACCTGTTTCGAGAGACACAAAAAAGACAGAACTAATCAGTCTTCTGTGAAATCCACTTACAATGAGAATAACAAAAAACAACGGTACCAGCCTCTCAGATGAGATTGAGTTCGCTTGAGTGATGTAACGTGTGGTGTGGTAGAGTTTTATGATACAGCAACACGTGAGAGTAGCATGTGGTTTTCGATTTCAAGGTAGTAGTTTTATTACGAAACCAACATCTTGGATAGTCTTGCTCAATGGCTTTTGAAAGTAACTGAATAGGGACCAAGTAAAACGGCAGTTAGGCAATTCGTTATCCCACCTGATTGGTGCCGTCTTAGGGAAAGGGTGTGGTTGCTGGGGCGAGATGGCCCAAGTGGTAAAAGCGCGAATTTACTGACTGGAAGGTCTGTGGTTCGAGCCTGACCTCTACCTCGCGACTTCTTCTGTCTAGGTTTGGGCAACTTGCTAGTATCTCAGTCCTCGTGCAGCCTTCGGGTGGCACGGCAGTTAGGCACTGAAAGGGTGCGACAGCTGAACGACGAAACGGTATTACAAACCAACATCTTGGGTAATCTTCTTCAAAGACTTTTAAAAGTAACTGAATAGGGACCAAGTAAAACGGTAGTTAGGCGTCTTCATGGGGACAAGTGTGCGGTCAGATGAAAACAGTGTGGTTACGTCCTTACAGTTCGGGCTCATCAGGTAGGCGCAGCCCCCGACCTTATGTTCTACTTGAGTTCAAATCCCATGAAATTCAACACGTCAATGTGGATTTCACGGGAGACTCACCTGAATCCCGGCTGAATCTCTCGTCTTTTTCAATTGGGCGAGTTTCCCATGAAAAGCACGGTGTGTTTGCTAACTGTGGGTGTTTCTATGTTCTTTATGCTTTCCTTCGTTCAGGTGACGTTTCATAAAGTCTGCATCACCGTGTAACTAACTAACAATGGTGTGAGATCGAGACAGCTCAGCACCAAACTTCCGACCGGAAGGTTCGTGATTCAAATGCAAGCTGACTTTTGAGTTGTGCGAGGCGAAGAGGTATCACCTGATCAACAGCAGTGTGCAAAACACAAGACGCAGTAAAACATGGGACTATGTCCAATGACCCCCACAAAAACGAGCGGGACTACAACAGTGAACTGTCGGTGACTTCTGACCAACCGTCTAAGAAGCGTAAAAACGCAAGCCAGTGGTTGGTACGATCTAGACGCGACGGGTGAGATACATCCAAAAAGCAAGACTTACAGCGCCAATTCACGCGTAGAGATCGGGGGTCGAGGTGCACGAGGACAGTCTGTAACAAAAAGACGGAATGAAAAACAGCGATCGTTGGTAAAAGATTGGTTGTCCGCTTGGAACTCGACTAGGTATAAGTTCATTGATTTTAAAAAAAACAGTTCAGCTGTAGCATCCTCCTGGTACCTAAGTGCCATGCCAGCTGAGGAAAGCACGAAGGCTGGGATACTATCAGGTTGCCCAAGCCTAGACAGGGAAACTCGAGATGCCGGGGTAGGGTTTGAACCATGGACCTCGCGATCCGTAAATTCACTCTCTGACCACTGGGGAGAATCATAAAAATATACTCTGGGACATGAATGATTCGAGGGTTTTAGACCCGGAATCACTATCTCGAAAACTGGTCACCGACGCATTCCCCACTTCCAAAAGCCCTAGGTACCCTAACTGTATAGGACGAAAAATTATACGAGGTGGACGAGCTTTGCAAGAGAGAGCGATGCACTGCTCTTCAATTGGGTGGCCTCGTCAGAAACCGCGGTTGATCCTGGCATTGGGGGACACTGGATTGTTTACTGAGCTTGGCAATCAGCTTGCAAACGTCTCGTCACCAATCAACGGGATCATCAACCGCGCACTCATGACGTCTCCTCGACTGCAGACGAAACGCTTGTAAACGAATTGCCAAGCTCGGAGAACAGAAGAATGGTTACCTGACCAACCACAAGTGAGCGCACTCGAGCCATGAATATTCCCATAAATTTCTACCAACATCGTTGTACGCACAAGTATTTGGAGTTAAACCTACGTCGCTGACTCTCCGTAAGCCATGTATCCACATCGATAAAAAAAATGAACATGGTAGGACGGTGTTGTGAAAATCTGAAATGAGAGCGCCTTCACAAGCAAGCCACACAACTGGGAATCATGCCACCTGCCTGCCTTCCAAGACGCTTTACCCACAGTGTCCGAATGCGTCCACGAGCATTACTGGGAATAACCACACTTGAACGCTTATCATCTCTATAGTTAACGAGCCCCCAAGCTCCAATCCCGTTTAGAAAGCTTCATAATTTAGACGGATAAAAACGTGTCTAGTGGTCATCCAGCTCAAATTTAACGTTTGAATCTGCAGCAGACTTGCCAAGCAACCGAAACAAGCACGAGAGTACAAATGGTGTCATGCCCCCCGAAGAGAAGACAAATAACAGCCATTGAGCAGTCGGAGGTGTACTAAGCTTGCGCCACGTTCAACTCCAAGATATTTTGAATTCTGCTAAGTCTCCAGAAACGTTGCTTTGATTTGAAAAGCCTCCCCCACCCTGTTCGTACGCAATTATGCCGCTAAGCTCAAGTAAACGGCGAAGGATGACCAGACCACAACATCGCTGCGACTAACACTCATCGAGGCAGGCGTCGGGATTACTATAAACATTTCACACGTTTTCAGATAACTGACCAAGTGGTTGGAGCGCGAATTTACTGACCGGAAGGTCTGTGGTTCGAACCCGATCTCTGCCTCTCGACTTTTCCTGTCTAGACTTGGGCGACCTGGCAGTACTCCAGCCCTCGTGCTTCCCCCGGGTGGCTTGGCAGCTAGGCACCGAAAGAGTGCTACAGCTGAACGATTTTTTTTAGAAAACTGACCGACAAGCTGCTGTCGACCGTTACGGTAAAGAGATGGCGGCTAAGTAAACACAGCCAAACTGTCGTTCTAGTCTGATTGGTTTACAAAACACACAAAGTGGGATTCCCTTACTTTTTGATGAAAATGACAATGCCGAAGATTTGTTATCAGTCGAGCAGGCAAGTGCTGGACTGGATCCGTTTGGACCAGAAGCCTCCAACCGTCGTTCCAGACTAACTGCGTCTGAGACTGCATGCACACCAGCACGACTTTGTACACCAGGCAGCGGGGCTTCAAAAAGCGCGTTTGTGAAACTCGGTGTGGCCAAACGCTGCCATTGTTGAAGCACTTCTGATCCGTCCAAGGGTTTGATCAACTGCAGTCGCCGAGGGAGACTGTTGGAAGGAAAGCAAAGGAGAATGGCTACACAGGTTAAAAAAACCCCCGGCTGTGCTTGGACGAGAATGCGACACAGTTGAAACGGTTAATATGCGTGACAGATTCATTACATACAGACATCGGGTTCACAAAGAGACAAGTCCCAGTCATCAGAAGCCCCCAATAGACAGGGGGAAAAGAAGCACTAACCGGGAGTACGATTGCCCATAAACGACCGTCGGGTCGCTAGACAGAAGAGATTCGGCCAACAGGTTTTCATCACTGTTGCGAGGATACAGGGTCCCAACAGCTGACAACGTCGGTTCATCCGGAAGCGAGCCCTTGCGTGGTTCACAACCCAACCAGCTGTGGCGCTTCAATTGTTCTTCCAAAGAGTCGTGTCCACACCAGCATCGCGCATTAAGTGGGGATAGAGGTCTGTGAACGAAATTGAAAACAACGAGGATCCACATCAGTAAGCCCCAAAGACACCGCGCTTTTTGGATGCCAAGCGTCCAGCAAAATAAGCCACAAAGATGGAGACAAAATTAGTCATGCTGAGTCGGCACCATTCAGAATCAAAGGCAAGAAAATCACAACTGGACTGATGCCCTACTTAACGTCTGGATCGCCAAGCATTCCCGGTAAATTCACGTATTTACGAGTACCGTCCATCTAGTGGGCTTGGACTCACGGTCCACTGTATCAACAAATTTTTGTTGTCCAACGATATCTGGGTGAAAAACTAACAGTCACGGTTAAGATGAATGGAAGAGGGGGAGAGATGAAGGAACCATGCCTTTAACCTTCAAGATTCTCTACCATTTGGTTGAACGGTGAACGAATAACGTCAAAATTAGCAACCCTTGATGGTAGAAAAACAGATGAGCGGCCACGGACCAAGACGCACACCCTTCAAAAGGTGGAAAATCATGAGCCTGAAGAATGACATAACGCATCAGTGGGTTGGCCAAAATGAGATCAAAGACCCGGGTTCGACCTTCACACGGGAGCCTTCTATCAACACAAGCTCTGGAACCTCGTACTAACAAGACTAAACCCACAACGACATATCGTTCTTTAAACGAAACAGCACACTTGGTCCGGAAGGTATGTACTCTGAACATTTCAAATAAAAGAGACGATACCCTGATGAGATATAATGGTGATGTTGGAAAAATAACAGAATATTAGCGGAATGGGTGATTTTTATATCTAAAGGAGTACAGAAATACCATGAGGAAGCCTTCGTAGCACCAGCTTGTTTAGTAGTAGCAAGATGTTCTCTGGCATTGCCTTACACAGTTCGATCGATTACATTTGTGGAAATCTATCAGGAAGGTGAACTTCCCGAAAGCAACCCCTAAATGCCCTAGATCTACCGAGAGTCTCAGCTCCGCTAGATGTTGACCAGACAGCCAACGCCCCCTCAATATGCAGCGCGTCACAGCCTCGTACCGTGCGCGTCAGCATTGGACCAAGTTCAGACAGTGTCCTTTCAATGAATAGCTTGAGACCGTTGTAATTTTGCACTTGCACGCACTCGCTTGTTCAGAATATGGCTGTTGTGTTCCCTTCTGTGAGTCTTTTTTCTGGCGTGTCCGATTGATTTGCTCACGTGACTGGGCTGTGGGTTGACTGGATATGTGACTCAGTCGTTTGCTGACCCACCACGAGAGCGGACCAGTTGGCCCCATGTACTCAATACACCCGTGTCACTACTTACGTGTTTTTCTGACTTACTGTGAACTCTAATAAGCAATCGTCTGAGTTCACCAGAACCAGATTGTCCAATCACGCTAATCCTCTGAAGCTCTTTCATTAACATACTGCTTGAAATGCTGGTTAGGCTGTGTAGTTCGTGTGCTAGAGGACCGTTTGCCTCGCAGAGTCCTCTTCGCCAAGTCTTGTCTCGGATGAGGATGGATAATAACCCGAAGGCGGTCAGTCAATGATTTGGAAACGAAGCATGAAAGTCCTTACTGATCAGCTGAGTCACGTTGGTAACTGCCGTCTCCCTGGTTAGGGACTGCGAAGCGACAAAAACCAATGGTTAGCGACGGTGTTGAGTCATTGCGTAACTCTCACTGGGATACTGAAAAAAAACACCATTTTGTCATGAATGCACAGATTAGGCCATCACCACCAATACATGGTTCTCATTCCCCGCTCCTAGGTGAATAAAGCTGGACTTCGGTACACGGCCTCTGAACCGACTGACTCATTGAAACTTTCCTGGCTGCCTCATGGATCGAAATACCCTCGGTGTACGATCCTGTGCTAAGGCCGTGATCTCAAAGCGAGGAATTGGTTAATTAGCCTAAACACAGGATATAGGTGTCCCATCTGACAGGTAACGTGTAGTCTAATTCACCAACGGACGGTCAGTAATAATTGCGACGAAACCGAATTCTACGAACTTCACCAGCGTCTGTTCAGCAGTCACTATTGGGCAGTGAACAATATGTTGATTTAGACGTGGGCGGACAAGAAGACCGTGGTTCTATAAGAAATTAACAGTAAATCGTGAGGAGAATTAAGAAAAGGCTTACGGCTAGATTGAACTTTGGGTAGTCAGCAACACAAGATTGCACACAAAGGGCAGTGTGCTATCGGACAAATTAAACGGGGAAAATGTTGTGCAGTTCAAAGTGGGACAAATTTTCAACAAACCCAGAAATAAGTGTAAACAAATCGTCTATAGAAAAATGGTTGAGGTAGAGTCGACTTTGTGTCTTGAAAATTAGCCTGAGGAATATGGAAACAAGTAATTACGTCACGTAAGTAACATCCGGGAATTTCGTTTACAGGCGATATCGCTCCCTCCTTGGTTCAGATCGTTCGAAAAGATGCAAATCACCTTGAATAATCCGAACAATTTTGTCCAATGGTTTTCCGCAAGCGCTTCAGACCTTCAAAGTGTAAAGTGTTCACACAAGACTTGGTAGACTGACGGACCGACGACACTTCGGATTGGTAAGGGCAGCGCAGCTGTCGCCAACCTTCGACACCTCTGGAGTCGGTATAGCGTCTACTAAGGTCGGGTCCGGTATACATTGCGAAAGTGCGATGCATACCACGGGTGTCGATGAAGCATCGGTGAGGCCTGGTGGGAGCATTCGATTCTTAGGCGCCGAGGGGGAGTGACTCCTACTTCCAGAGGTGATCTAACTGGTTACGTTAGTTATTGAACATACTTCACATGTCAGAAGATGATCTCAAAAAGCACTTTCTACCCATTTTTCAGTGGACGAAAAGATGGCAGCTGGAAACAACGTACCTTTGACCATCAACCTTTGAGCCATCAACCAACCAATCGGTATGTGTGCTGACTTTCTCACGTGACACAGTGAAACAAATTATTCAGTAGGTTCACGTGACTCACTGTCAGTTACAAATGGAGAGCCAGTGTCAGGAAAGTAAGACGCACGAGCAAATCAGTAGGGAGGCATTTGAAAAAAGTGATCCGTATGCTTTGAAAATACTGGCGACGGGAGTTAGCTGAGCTAACAAATACACGCAGGTCAGATCAACTAGATAACTTCAACGAACGATAAAAAAACGGACAGAGTTATCTACTCACCGTTGATTTCGCGGGGTACTTGTCTGATTATCACCGGTTTGGTACCCAGAGGAACGAGCGACCAGTTCTGATGGTTCTGTTTGAAAGGATTAAAGGAATACGTAAATACCAGCTATGAAAGTAGGAAGGAACTTGTGTTAAACGGGAAGCTGTGTTAGCGAAATACACTCATTTGTATACCAATGCGGTCTTCATGGGAGACAACTGAATCTCTTGTTTATAGAGGAGAATATCATGAACAAGAGATTCAGCTGCGTCTCCGTGTAAACCATACTGGTTTGCATTTTGGGCTCAAGTAGAACATAAGGTTGAGGGAAACTCGGAGACTGCGCCTACCTGGATAGGGGTGAAAACGGTCACGGGCTGTCGAAGAGTTTCCAGCAGCCGGTCGCAATCGAATGCACAGTAATGCTCCCTCAAAGAGACTATTTCAAGGCAGGTCACTGTCCAGAAGGGACCAAAACGAAAAACGCACGCGAGATTTTCTGTCTTTGAAGAGATCACCCCTCAACCACCTGTGGAGCCTACGGTTTTTCCCCCGAGGAATGCTATCAAAAGATACCTCCATGTTCCAAGAGTCAAATCACGATTCTGAAAGGTGTGAGCTTGGAGGCACAAAACTTTCAAAAACTGTTCGAATCCGAACAACGGTTTCCGACTGCACACTGGAAAGATGTTGCTCCGCGGCCACTCACTGAATGTTGCGCATTTCCTCACATTGCAACGAACGATATCGGGCTTAAGTGCTCTCCCTCTCTCTCGGTATTATAACAATGTTGGCGTGCCATACATCATTTAACACTTAATGAGCCTCACAAATAAGGTATCGATCAGAGGTGGAAGCAGTCTAAAGGTCACTGAATTACCAACTCGACATAAATCCTTGATGATATTACTCATGCGTGATATACAGTTAAGCGAGATAGTTCAGTGATTAGAGCGCGAATTTACTGACCGGAGGTCCGTGGTACCTCTGCCTCTGGACTCCTCCTGTCTAGGCTTGGGCAACCTGGCAGTATCCCAGCCCTCGTGCTTCCTTCTGGTGGCATGGCAGTTAGGCACCGAAAGGGTTCTACAGCTGAATGATATTTATAGTTTTTAGCTGCTAGTCGATTCCCCCAATCAGTCACGGAATCGATTGGAAAAAAGACTTTGATGACCAAACTTGAAACAAATGAGCAATCAACAAAATAAACTGCAAAACAACACAGACGGCCATGAGTATTTCAACTGCTAGTGTCTTAATTTGAGAATCCGGAGGATGCGCGTCCACCTCGAGGGAACGTTGGTGTCCCCAGGGCTACAGCCATGTTTGTGGGGGAGGGGTTAGGATATTTCATATAAAAAATGAAGAACAGTGTCATAGCATCACTAGTGAGAAAAACAAACCAAACATATGATGGATCACAGTTCGGATGCTTTTCGAATCCTACCTGCGTCAAAGTTGCTCAGACTCAACCACCAGCGTTTGGGACGGTGGATTTTTCCGCGGTTGGGAGACTGTTCTTGGGAGGAAGAAACGGCTCGTATCATGCTGCGAGAGCGACAGACAACTATCCGAAACTATTCTACCCGAGGGCGTGATTGACTTTGCTGCGAACCCAGACTGCTGCGTCAAACGCTCGTGAAAGTACTGGAAGGGGTTTGGCAGTGATCGATCAAATTCCATTTATGTGTGTGGAACAACTAGCTGTTACGTAACATCGCTTTCATCATCCACAAGATATGCAGTCACGCGTGGTGACAAGCCGAAGAAACGGCGTGGTTGCTAGGATGCCAGACAATCGACGTGATTGGTCCGGTTCAGTGTAGCCCACGCTCGCTCGCGCGCCAGCGAATAGCCTGGTTAGCAGAACCTGCGCACATGCCAACCAGTCCTTGTCAAACTGGTTTGCCTGTCTCGATGTGCAACGATCTGGCCAAACGTCCATGAACAACACTCAACGTTCGAATCGCTGCTAAATTTGGACTATCACCGCGCTTGGATTCAAATAGTAAATCAAGGTCGAAACAAGCGTTCGATAAGGCGGTCGTTTAGCTCCATCCAATCGATCACTGGGCGAAGAACGGCATCAACTTCAGGTAAGGCAGAGGGTGCCTACGTTCAAGCGGATCTCGGACAATTATTAAATAATCTGATGGAAAACGTGGGCGGACATTGTTTCTTCTACCCGCTTCTCTCACGCAATAATAAATAGAAACTCCAAATCGATCATCTTCGAATTGCATTCGCGACGCTCCCCAGTGCTGGAATGTCGTGAAAAAACAGGCGAGGAACAATAGGGAGAGCACCATGGCAACAGTGTTTGCTACTCTGTCTGGTTGTACGCCGAGGTGGGGGGGGGGAACGATGGTCAGGCGAAACAATAGGTTACCGCCAACCCTGGAGAGAGGAGGCAAGGAAACTGCGTCCTACGTGACATTTACAAAACCATACCGATAGCCAACACAATTAACGAGATTCACTAATTTCCATACCAATTGGGTTTTTAAGGGAGATCCAACAGGATACCAGCTGAATCTGTCGTTTACGATGGTCTACTTCAGCAACCTTATGAGTAGTGTGTTGCGTCTGAACTCAACGCATTTGTCTCTGTTCATTGCCATGGCAGCTGACCGAGGTAACTGACCGTTCCTTCTGGCTGTTCGCGAAAGAATGTAGGGTGAAGATGTGTGGTAAGCCTAACCCAAGCGTTTGCTAATTTGAGACACCTGTGGCGTCAAACTGGTGTATCCGTGAACCTCAAGGGACGCGTGTATCAGGCTACAGTACGGGCTGTTGTGTTGTACGGCTGTGAGACTTGGCCTGTTCGAGCATCTTCAGA